CAGGCTGGTTAGGACCTTCCGTGTTAAGATCACGATTGGGTTGTTCAGTGTCCACATGTTACGATTATAATTTGCATGAGACACCAGGAAGTTGATAAATCAGTGAGTAAAACTAGAAAAACTTGTTTCAGTATCTGCCTCACAAGCTTCACAATGTTCTCAAGGTATGTATGATTTATCAGCACTGCATGACCGCCGACATGTAAATCATGGAACGCTTTTCTTTTTTATAAAGATTATTGTACCATGATTTGTTTGGCACACAGTCTGGATCCAGACGTGTGTGAAAATATGTAATATATATATATATATATATGATTGCAACGATTGATGATTTTTGTGCAATTGGATTATCATATAAAGTTGACCATGTCTTAGTTATGACGTAGTCAGGAAAGTCATTAGGTGATCCGCGAAATGCGCAGAAAAGAATAGAATAAAATACGTTGTTCCACTGTATGCATTTTACTGATAGTAAACAATTTAATAGACAGTAAAAATGCTTTCCTTACCACCTCAACTTTCTGATTTACGGGTCTATTTGGATTTTTGTTTACTTAATAGCTTTTATCACAACCGCCACATACTCCCTGTCGTGGTAATTAACTGGTTTAATTCGCTGTCAGTGATGTAAGCCGTATGTTCAGAGGGCCAAGGTTTCAACCATCTGACTTGACAGCATGCGTATCCTTTTGAGGTCTTTTGTGGTTCTTCACTCCAATTTCCACAGCGTGACAACATTCCCTTGCGACGTTATAGTCTTTCATCCCTCATGCCCTGCATCGCAGTACCGCGTGCATAGTAAAATTCTAACTCCAGTGGGTGGTGGCGCTGTGGTTTCGTCGCTGTCATCAGCGTGCTTTGGACCCTATGGTCTGAGGTCCGAGCCCCGCCACCGCCACCGCCACCCAAATTTGGTGTTGGGCAGCTTTGCTGTCGCCGGGTTCTATACCACGCCTGAGCTAGCGGGGTATTGTGGTTCACCACTCCAAGTCCCGGGGCTTAAGTTGCCGGTCACCATCACTGAACAGCAGATTTTCGTGATTATGGGGTTCGCCCTGACTGCTGTTTATTACACACTGGTATGTAATAAAAAATTCCAATTAAATGTTTTCGCAGTAGTGCTATCTCAAAATTAGTAGTGTGTTTGAGGGATTTACCCTGAGAATCTTCTTTTTTATTTGTATGACATTATTTTGTGGCGAGCGTCTTTTTTGGTCACCTGGCAACTGAATTGGATGTTTGTTGACTTGGAATTTAAATATTTCAAGATTATGACTGAGAAGGGGGGGGGGGTAACAAACTATTCTATGAGCGTGACTATCTTACTACTCATTCTTCTGTCTTGAGATCGGTTGAAAGAAGTGGTTGGCAAATTTGTATATAAACTGCTGTCTGAACTTCGTTGTATGTGCTTACTTCCCAGACCTCATAAAGCCCGTTCTTAATTGTTTACATGACAGTAGTGGACATATGATTCAAAGAAAAGTACTTTTCAGTATGCACATTGTTATGTGATAAACAGCAAAAGGAAGAATCTCGTGGTCATGAGGACCTACTGTTCACTCTTGAAAACCAAAAGCCTTAACTCTGGAATTCAGAGTTGGGAACCACATAAGGCTCATGAGCGTGCGGGTAGGGACAAAAGCGAAGCTACACACCACCAAGGCAATCAGTTTTTTCCTTTGTTGGATCATGGATTGGTCATTTTTCCTAAATTCAATCATAAATCTTTCAGCGGAATCGAGTTTGACTTGCCCATATATGGTTTGTGCGTTGCCTAAACTATTCCTACTTTGTAGCGATTTTCATTATTTCAGTCTTGTTGAGTTGCTTCACCGGATACCTTTCAGCCGGAGTATTTCGCCAGACCTTCACTTCTCTGAAGAATGTTGATCTTGAAGTACTGTATCCTGTCTCCAATGTCTCAAACTTGCATCTACCGGCGGCCGTTTTTGATTCCACTACTGAAAAACCGCCGATCGCAAACAGAAAGCTGTGCCGCAAAGCGCTTAGCAGCATCAATTTACCCAGTTCAGCAAAGTATGTCTTTGTATCTATCAACCGATATGAACGGAAGAAAAATCTCCAACTGATTCTCTTCTCCCTGAGTAAGTTCACCCTGGTGTGTGTGTCTCAGTTGATAGGCGTGCATTGTGTTCAATGTCTGTTCTCTCCTTTATTTCATTATCCAACGATAGACTTAGTCCTACCTTGGGGTTAAAAGATTTATTTTCTACCATAGAATGAAAGGAACTGTGTTGAGAATGGTATAACATGGAACCGTAAGGGAATGTTGAGAATAAAGCAGGTCAGTGTGATGGCGTTTAGATTGAATCTTCGTACGCAGGTATTTACATCACCTAGTTCGCACGGCAACGGTTGGGTATAGATAACTGTTGTCAGTACCCAACTCTGATAAATTCTGTTACTTAGCTAAATATCTCGCGCATCCCATTGAAGTGTAATGTGTCTGACCAATCCAAGTCTAAGGATTTGAATTGTCAATGGATATAACTGACCAGTAGGCCCTCATGAATTTGGACTTCCTCCATTGTGTTGTTGGTAACAATAGGTTGTGTAATAGACAACAAATCCATAAAGTTCCCTTGGAATACAACACAAAGCCGCATATTTTATGTCAGCTGTTATTTGGTTGAGAATATGCTCCCGGCCAGATGCTTCCCGGAAGGTAGCAGAATGATGACAGTGGGTCAGATTTGCACACGTTATAATGTCTTCTGCGGCTTCCTATTGGAAACAGATTATTTTCCAAGCAAAAATCCAGCACGTCCTCGGTAATCGTTGCTGATTTACCCTGACCAATTGTTCAGCGAAGGTATATCCGCCTATTCACAATTAGCCGCCTAAGTGGCTTTCCTTTCATCCGCGATTAGGTGTCCGGTAGTGAACGACTACTCAGACCACAGTCTTTTTGCTTACGGTTTATGCTCACGAACCCGCGATTATGAGGAGGTTGTCTATAAGGAAGAGGTTTTTATTGTAGAGGGCCCCCATACGATTTGTTAGTAGCAGCAAACATAAACAAACGATATTGGTGTAACAAATACCGATCACCTGTTAGATACGAAAAATACCGATTCTGTCGATAGAGATACACGGTCAATCCAAAGCGAAGACCACCAACTGAATTGGGTACAAATGCGGTTCTATGTTAGTTTGTAAGTAACTCAAACTTTGTACAAACAGAGCATATTACAATAGTACAGCAATATGGGTTGTATAAACCACTCAAAAAGGAATGGTTTGGACCTATACAGGATAGCCATAGATTCAGATCGTTCAATGTAGAGACCAGCTCGCGTAGTCAGCGAATGAAAATGTGCTAATGACGAGGGAGCGATAATAGACGATGGCTCGGTGGAGGTTTGGCCAGTGCAATGAACCACGGCTCATCGCTTTTGGTGCTAACCTGGTGTAAAAAAACTGTCACAGACAGGAGGGCAAGAGACAGACCATGTATAATTCAGACCCGGTTATATGTCTCATAGACAAGAGAAGTGACTAACAGCAGTGTCAAAGTCCAATATATAATAAAGGAGCTAGGGGTGGGGCGGTGAACGGACAGATGTGTCAACAGGGTTGATGATGAAGCGGGGATAAATAAACGGTTGACCGTACTCAACCGGAACTACGTACGGACAAAAGTGAATTGAGTGACACGGCACGCACGGCATGTGAACGATGCGAAAAGCGGTCAAACGCTAGATGCCTAGTTAGATAAATAAAACAGATACAAGAGGCTGGGGGAGAGGGGCAAACCATGTGACGTGGATATACTAAGACCGAATAGGTTGTAAGGTAGAAACAATGTGAATTAAAACAGGGATCTTCGCATGTGCATCCTGAGATTGTAACAAACGGGTACCCAGCACACGGATTAAAGGCTCCTTTACAGAAAACTGCTTTCATTTTTAAGCCTAAAGCGTTTATCGCGCATTCTTGTATCAAACACTCCTCATTCTGCAACGTTTGTTATGCACAGTGTGACGCTTTTAACTTCTCTTATAGCTCACCATATTTCACTGTTTGACAAAGTGCTTTGCGCAGATCATCGAATATTTCATTAGGGTGATATTTCTGTTCTTTGAACTTCTAATGTCATTAGCGAACCCAAGATTTAGCAAATTACTTCTTTTTAAGGTAGCCCTGTACTACATATTGGTTGTAATTATTTAACTGGTCATTCGAAGTTGAGGTCATCTTATTCATTTGTCTTCTGATGAATTTTCCCCCATCAACCAGATCATTTGGTTCAGCACTGGAGCGAGTATTTTAGTGGGGAGGAAACGGTTCAAGCCAAACCACATGAAGTGCATGTGGTCATTGCCGGTGGTTACGACACTCGCGTGCTGGAGAATGTGGAATATCACGAGGAATTGGTCGAGCTGGCCCGTAACCTAAATGTGAGTGCACGTATTTTGATTCCGAATTGGCCATTTGCACTCATTTCGTCTTCTCCACGTTTTTACCTGCGATTGCACGCTGCACACCTGTTGTTTTCTAGAAACAGCCGTTTACCACTGGTCTGCTGCTCGTTACCCTGTGCACCCGGACGCAGTGTCTTCTGAATGAAGAAATCTGTTTAGTTTAGCTGAGATTTCAAACAACTCTGCTCGCATTCGCACGTTGATGTTTTGCCATTCTTAACTGTGACGATTGGTTATACGGACTGTTTTATAACCACGTTGCGAAGATCCCCTCTGTATAGATAAAAATTTGGCATATTGTGACGCGAATTCAGAACTAAAAGGTACACGTGTTGGAAGGAACGGTTATGTTCCCCATAAAAGGCTGTTCTTAAGGATATCTCTATTTTAATGGACTTATTCGCCCCAATGGACGCCTATACCATAACCGTTGCGTTCAAAGCTCAGAATCGCGCCACATTTGAACGTATTTCCATAGTCACCCGTGGTATATAGCAAAAATTTATGTAAGCATGCTCTCAGGGACGCGCTCGTGATTGGTTCAAGTGGTCGGTCGCTTCTTATAGCACGCTAGGTTGCAGCCGCTCTGCGTTGTGAGTGAAATTACAGTGCGTTATTCTCGAGCACCGCGTATCGACCTCCTGCTAACCACCGCACATTGTCGTTCTTATTTCGCACCTCACTCACTCGCCCAGTCTCTGTCAATAGCATTACTTTATCATCGCTCACACGACTGGCTAATTATTCTTTCGGATCGAACATGTAACGCGCATGATGCAGTCAGTACTTCCACGTAACTTGCATGGTGCAAACCGTTGATAAAAGCTAACCAAACTCATGCACTGGCTAAACGTACCGATCTTTTCTTATGCGATCGTGTCGTATCAAATTTTCTTGCGGAATTTTCTGTTGCGGAACGAGCACAGTTACTTAGGTTATGCTGTCGATCGGAGCAGGAAAAGTGTTTGAATCAAAGCACCAAAGGAAATATCACTGTCCAATCGGCTCACTGCGTTCAATCTCACTGGAACCTCGTTTGGAGCATGATTTTTCCTCATCGCCGTACGAAGTCAAACAGATTCCCACTTGATCCATATAAGCACATCCAATTTCTACGGATTCGGTGCAAAGGCAACCACGGGGTTAAAGAACAGAACAGAGAGTAGTTGTCTTTCGGGTGAGGTTAACAAAAACATCTTTGAGGTTGTCTACTGCATGCGAGTAAAAAGATCTGGCACCTCAAAGTCCGCCGGACTTTGACGAAAAAAATTCGAATGGGAAGCCTCTTCATGGAAGGTCATGCTCATAGATGATATCAGTACCTATCCTATACGGGGGAATGCGGATGGACCATTGTCAGCCATATCTTCTGGCCCGACTGCCAGAGCTTCAAGTGAACGATGATCGACATGCATCACACTATATTTCATCCTCTTGTTTTGAAATCGTCGGTATCTCTACATCGTTGAGTTGTAAATTATTTGTTTAAATTACTGTTTGGTAGACTGAAGTCTTGTGTTGAATTCGTGAAAAGTTCAGTGGCTTTGGTGGGACTCAAACCCACGCATGGACGCCGCCTACTCCTTTTTGTACAGAGCACGCTCCACCAGCTGAGTAACGAGGCCGCACGGATAGCACTGATCTTTTCACATGAGTTATTGCCGGTTTGAAAGGGATAGACTCTAATTTATTTGTCTCGGTGGAAGTTCAAGGCAACCGAGCACGTCATCTGATTCAAGTAGATAGTAAAGATTCAAATGCTTAAAAAATCTCTTTTAAACTCACAATGACTTGTGAGTAGTATTTGCTTTCAGCGTATTCCACGTGTTACTAATACGAATTGGATGCGATGCTCAGTTTTTCCATCTCGTTTTTCATCCTCATTCGATTCTTTTAATTCCTCGTTTCATGGTGTTTCTTACTTGTCTTACCACCCCCATTGGTATTCGAAGTTTATCGACTCTGATCGCTTCGGATTATCCATCAGGCGAAAGCTTTTGCACCTAAAACTGTTTGGATGCTCTTTTGTGTAAAGTGAAGGAGAAACATGCTTTATTGATCGCGATTCATTTGCAACTGAATTGAACCGCGAACCACGCAACCGGATTCGCCAAGGAGACCGCGGCTGGGGCCAAAACAAGCATCTGGACTGTAACGTAGAGAACTGGAGGGTCTAAGGCCCGAGCAACATTTTATTGCTATACACTTTACCAAATCGATAACACTGCAAAAATACCTGAATGCAGTAATTAGTAACCTATTCGGCTAAAGCAAATGTGTCACGAGTTGATGTGTGAGAAACAGGCGATGATATGCGAGCTGATGAAATCCGTGATCAGAACTTCATACTCCTCCCATTCCTTTCTGTCACGATGTAGTAAAAAAGGCAATTGAAAATTTTTCACTAACGCGATGTCGATAATTGAGATGTGATATTTTACTTCTTTGTTTAACACCAAAACTGACTTCAGTTTGATTATTCTCCATCGTTGTTTTTGCTGTGTAGATCGAGAAGCAAGTTACCTTTGTTCGTTCTTGTCCATCAGAAGTGAAAAATTTACTGATCGCATCCAGCGACGCGGTCCTGTACACCCCGGAAGGTGAACATTTCGGTATTGTCCCGGTTGAAGCTATGTTCCTCTCGCGACCAGTGATCGCTTTGGATTCTGGTGGTCCGAGGGAAACAGTTAGTCACGGAACAACTGGATTCCTTTGCCCAACTGAACCCAAAGTACTGCTCCCTGTCAACTATGCTACTCAAATGAGTCGGTGCGTTCTTCCAATCACCCAAAATTTGTTTTTCTGCCTGTTGAGTAATTATGATTTGAACCGTTATCGGTCCAAACCGCACGTCCACCGATTCACCGCGTTTGTAGGCAGCTCTGTTGGCAATGTCCTTGTTATGAGTTTGACGACATCCGGAGGCAGGGCGTCAACACAGATCTAGAGAAATCGAGATAATCGAAAGCGGGTAACTGTATAGCATTCGTGTTTTTTTGCCGGGACTCCCACATTCAGATGCCCAATATACTCCACTACCCGGTCAACCCGGTGAACCTATATCCAATAGTTCTAGGGACATTTCATACGTCTTGGAATTTACTTTTGGAATCAACATTTATCAAATACTCCAAGACCGGCTAACCAGCAGGGATTCGTTAACCCAGGGATTGGTTTATCGTTGTTGCAATGTGGCGAAAACACCCTCCCTTACACAAGGGTGAATTAAAGATTAGTCCTGGAAAGACAAAGTTGTTTACTACTGAGTGCGTCCCCAAGTCGCATGTATGGAGCTGGTCGCCAGTTTGATGTCTGGCGAACCGAAAAAGCGATCGCAGATAGTCAGTTGTAATGCTATGGGACACGGTTGGTTTTCGGTTAGCTGGCGTTCTTCACTGTTAAACAACACACATGTTTGTATACCCTACTGCGATGTGGAGGTCCCGACCCTCCGCTACATAAGTATACTGCCTCTGTTGTCTTTTGCCTAACCAAAAGAGGTGGGAAAAAACTGCACAATGGACCACTGAGTCGCTTGAAGTAATCTCATTACCTTGCAGGCTGTACTGGGTTGAACAAAAGCTGAAGGTACAAGCCCCACCCAAATGACGGTCAAGGTGCCATCAACTTACATCCTACTCTGGACTGGGTGACCGAGTGGGAAAGAAACTTCCAACAGCATTGAGTACCGTGTTTCCACGAATCGTCCTTGATATTAACGAAACTATATGCTCGCATCATTCTACGGCATCCCCGAGAAGCAAAGAGCCTCATTTCCCAGCGGTCTAGGTGGCCAATCAGCAAGCTAAGATTCTCCAATGCACAAAGGTAAAAAGAATAGTTTACTGAAATTTTAGGGTATCATAGGTAACAAAGGCGTCACAATGCGGACGCTACATAAACATCACTTGACTTTCGGAAGTTCGTCCATCTGAATATGGTAACCGGTGCGCCAAGGTTACAGGAAGGGACACGGCTTACTAGCTCCGTGACTTGGCTGCCAACTCTAATCTCCATGGCGTGGCACTGTGTGCATAAAAATCAGCCTTGACCTCATAGGAGCCTATTTCCACCGCCCCTCAAAGGTCACGTGTTTACGATCCTACATTGTATTGCAAGTAAGCCTGGATGATGCTTTTCTGTTATGATCAACAAACATTTTATTTGATAATCGGGCGAGCTTTTTAATCATGCGGTCAGGAGCTGCGCTAAAATCTGTTGGCACATGATTCGGGATACAAAAGTTTGAATCGCAGAAATGCGGGCGTTCTAAAATCATTTCGTATACTGTATTCTCTGCTTTTCTAAAAGGAACGGTACACTCTCTAAGCCCAATAACGTCTCCATACACGAACTCCGCGTGACTAGAATGTGATTGGCTAGCCTACAGCCCAGATTTGAACCCCCTTAAAAGTGGCTATGTTCAATAGTTGAGACTGGTTTCCGTGTTTTGGAAGATTTTCTATACTGTTCATGCACTGAAGATCACACATGTGCTTTAGTATAAATACTCTACATTTCGTGCAATTTGGAACCTAAATAGAAGTGTGTTTTGAAAGCTTTCGTGCGGTTCCGTTTCCTCCGAGGTGGTTAATAACTTCTCCCACCTTGTGTGACAATTTATCATTTAACCCAGTATCAAAGGGTCATAATTCAAGGTCGTCTGGTTTTACTATGCGGCAAAAAGTTGTATGACCGCCTTGCTACAATAGTCGATCAGTTTGGATTATTTAATTGGCGAGAAATTGCAAAAATTATGTTGTGATTGATTGGAAGCATTTTGCGCACTTTGTCAGTAATCTTTCCATCGTTTCGTTTTTTTGCTCGTGACTAATTATGCCGAACACCATCTCATAATGAACGAACTACTCCGTTCGCCTTATTATTCGAATTGGGTCTGGGTTGCATTATATCGACCTGTTTCATTGCTTAAATGTTTTCACTACAAACCCGCCAATCAGCAATAGCAGGAGTAATCTCCATTGGTTTTGGGATCATCTGGGTTGTGATAATCGACAATATAGATATTGGGGTGATAAAATATATGATACCCCAAGAGAATAAATACGGCATTAAGTCAGGCGATAACGGATCTGCCTCAAGTTCTGTGGTGACCTCCAAGGATTGAAACGAGCTGATTTAACCCATCGTTTATCGAATATCCATTGCAGCTCCTTTGGGAGCTGTGGTTCCACTGTTATATACCCAGGGTTCTCCACAATTTTCACAACGGAGGTCGTATTCTACCAAACGGAGCTGTTCGCACATGAGGACACTCAAATAGCTACAAGTGTTCCCAGTGATTTAAGCACTAGTTTGTAAAGTTGATGTTATTCTTATGGCTACTTGAGAAACACCAACTTCCGTTTTGAACTGTGAAAGAGTTAGTAAGTGGATTACCTGAGCAATTTTTTTTTGTTTGATCGCGTTTTCATGTATTGTTTTAGTCAATAGTTTGCGGTAATCAGTGCCATGGGAAAAACCCTCTTCGTCTGATTTCGACAGTCACGCAGTAAATTTAGTATGTAGTAAACTCTTAGCAGGCATAGGCTAACAAAAAGCTACTGCCAGCGAAGTTGTACTCTACCGGTTGCGTCTCCAATTCATGAATAGAACTGTGACTAAGCCATGAATAGATGGATATTGCCCCAATAAAAAAGTGATCGCGGACGGTCAGTGGTGAAATCCAAGGACGTACTGAGTGACCTCCTGGCAACAAAAAGCCACAGTTGTCCGCAGANATCATCGCTACGTGAGAGCACGAAGCCCACCACTTAATAAGACCAACAGCCATAACCATGCAGGTAGTTACTGTTGATCGAAGACCGGGGGTGCATCCATGACGAAAGACCTCGAGTGATATTCTGGATCTTACTTATACTGTATTTTCAAGCTTAATAGATCAACTCTTGGACACATTTCTCATTCATCCTACGGTATTGAACCGGACGACAGCACAGCTGCCTACCACCAAAGTTGGGTGGCGGGGCTCGAACCATAGGGTCCAAAGCACGCCGATGACAGCGACTTAACCACTGCGCCACCATCACTAACCTTGGGCGGCCATGATCCGAGACGTCAAATCCGCTCACCCTCTCGCAAGAATTAGTCGCTCCAAAGTAAGCATGTGTAAAACTGAGTCATCCTCCCACATCACCTTGCTGTAATCTTATCTTTCCGCGCACACCCACCTCCATATACAAACGCTTTAATAACAGTTATGCACGGCGATGTTTGTTCTTACCGATGAGATATTTTTACCACACACCGTGCTTTTGCATATGATGGATGGAAAAGGTAAATATGGTCATGTGAACTGTCCGTAATGCTCGGAATGACGGAACACATGAGCTTCATTCGGATGAGAGCGTGTTCATCGTATTATTGCTCGTTTTTTCACATTGATAACTAAACTTGATCGATTTAGTCTCGTTGCATGCATGGTCACGTCTTAAGTTAACGCAATATACACCAAAATGTGGAAGCAAGAGATTTGATTTTTCTCCTTTTTTAACTTCCATTCTACCAGCTTCATCAAGGACCCTAATTTAACTTTACGTTTGGGACGTGCTGGATATCGTCGCGCAAGGGAAAGGTTCTCATTCGCCGCTTTTCAGACCCATCTGTGTGACATTCTCCGGGGTATAAACCAGATCTCTTGAATTTTATCCTTCTTTCTTGTTCTTGGAAATGGTGTCACTTTTTGCTTCGTTAGGCAATGTATTCTTTCTCTTCGATAAAACTTTCATACTCAACACTGCTTTTCACGTTACCTGAACGTACTTCAGGTTACCCAAACACTTATGAGTAGTCATGTGGGATAAGTGATACACATTGTTGTGATGAACAGCAAACGGAGTAAACAAATAGTCAGATGGAACCTACTGTTCATTTGTGGGAACCTGCAATATAAGCTCTGGGAACTTCTAGTGGCGAATCACGTAAGGCACCACCAGTATAAGCATAGTATTGAACCGGGCCACAGGAAGCTGCCTGTCATCGGAGTTCCGAGGGTTTTGGTATGCGCTGCTGACGAGCACGAAGATCTAATCGGGTACTTCTCGGGTATATGGTTGAACTTAAGGTTGTGCAAAAAGGTAAAACCCGAAGAACGGTCTTTCGAAGTCACTATTTCGATAAACCTAGTTTCCACGATTGACTAACTCGCAGTCCATCCCTAGCGATGCTTTTGAGGCCTCACAGTTTAGCATGAAGTCGGAGTTGCACCACTGTCTGTTCCGCATGAATCCGAGGGGTTTAATGCAAACAGCATTCAGATCATTTGTATGTAAGATTATCTGGAGTGAACGGGATAATGTCGGCCACGGCACTCGTATTCGGTCTCCAGGTTACGCTTAGACATTGAGTTTTGTGTAACACCAATTCACGACCGTCGTCTGTGGATCTGTCGGAATAATGGAATCAGCTGATATCAATTTTATGGGGAAATGGGGGCCATACGGTGAGTGAAGTGATGTGAAAACTGTCCGGAAAGCTTGAAGTTACGATCGAATGAGATCGGCGCTTTGATACCAGTTTTGTAACACCACTTTAAAAGTGAGTGAGAAACGTTGAATACAGCATTTTTATACGTGGGGCGCAAGTACCTGGTTCAACAGCATTATCTGAACATTCGGTAGAAGTCCGCATCTGAATGTTGTTTGAGCAAATCTGTGGTCAAAAAGCGGAAATCATGGATTTTTTGAGTCCAATGTGTACTCACGCCTGGATATATATATATATATATATATTATATTCGCCACAATAACTTTGTTCGCAACACTTCTTGGGCTCAAGTATATGAATGAAATGATAAAAGATTACTGGATACGTATGCCTGACGAGCGGCAAGAACCGCGAAACCGGTAGGGTGCTTCCGGGGGAATTTCGTCCAGCCATTCACATATCACTTATTACTAAATATACATCTGTATATCACACGTCTGA